CCTCCCCCATTGATCACTAATTGAGAAAATGCCTTATAGCTGGATCTCACGGAGGCATTTCCTCAACTGAAGCTTCTTCCTCTCTGATGACTTTAGCTTGTCAAGACTCTAGCTTGTGTCGAGTTGACACACAAAGCCAGCCAGTAAAAGAACGTTGTGGCTTTGACAGCAAAGCCATTTATTCTTTTATGTGGAAGGAAGGCAGTGGTCATTGCAAGCCCAACGCTGGGGCCTGTGTGGATTGGCCAGGCATATCTGGACAAGTGCCAAGTAGAAAACCAAGGCCTCTGACGTAGGTGAAGGACTTAGGTCCCACATGAACTCCAGGTTATGTGTGTACATGTGTATGATTGATTTAAAGAGAAATCTCATCTTTGGGAGCTGCTGACCTCAACCTCTCATCACAGGTGAAGGGGATGAGGCACTGAAAAGGGACAGAGTGGCGTTCTGAGTGGTAGGGGCTGGCCCATGTGGGACAGCAGGTTCCAAGTGAGCATTTTAACTCAGAGTCGGGAACAAAGTGGGAGAATGCCGTCACGAAGGTCCTGATTTTCCTTAGAAGCTCAGTCAGGATACAGCGGCTCTACGAGGGTGATGTTAAAAATGAGCCCCAGACCTTGTATACATAACCAGGGACATCTGCCTCTGTGTGTCACCAGGTGTACAGAAAGGGAACCAAATGGCTAAGCTGACGCACACCCTGGCGGCTGGTGTCCCCGAAGGATCAGTCATTCTAGGAGCCAGTCCTGGTTGGGCTACCACAGGTGCTGGCCCCTGAGGTGGTACTGGGAGAGGAGACCCCCTGGATTCTCAGGCCAACGTGCCTGAAGGTCCTTAGGAATGTGCTGTAAGCTCCCCTCCACCCCATTGTAAGAGATCTAAGTGCAGGCAAGCACCACCCTGGGGTAAAAGGGGTTATGTGGCATTGAGTACATTTAGAGCCATCTAAGCATGTCACAAATGTCCACGATAACAGCTGCAGCAACCCACCCTGGGGATGGTTACCTAGCCTCGATGTGGCTGACGTGGAACAGACCACTGGTTCCGACCACCAAGCAGCGAGATTCCCACATTCCCGCACTGTACAGTCTTCTGTCAGAGTCATGTGCTTGATGTTATGGATCTACACCAATGTTCAGATGAACCCCAGCCTCCTGGAAATATCAATCCCCATAGTGAAAGAGCCGTAAGAGAGCTGAGCGGTGAAGTCGTGCCTAGCCTCATAGCAGCTACTGACCACAGCGCGTGTACCGTCGCTGCACCATTGGTGGCTGCAGAGGTAAAGGTAAGGGGATGTCATGCCAGAAGAGAATATTATGGTTATTTACCGAGCTCTGGCAAGTCAATACCACCCTAGGGCTCGGTCCCAGTGTGAAAGGAGAAAGCCTCCCCACTCCCATTCCACCCCCAGCAAGTGGGCTGGTGGCTGGCTTGCTTGCAGCTCCTCAGATGCCGGGATCAAAAGAAAACATGTTGTGTTGGGCTAGTGGAGTCATTGCTACCAGACTAGGAGTGCAGTAAAAGTTTCCACCACTCCACCTCTAGAAGCAGCTATGGCCCATGAAGCCAAGCAGATATGAATGGAGAACTGGCTGGCAGGAGAGACACCCCCACAGACTGGCTAGGACACAGGCAGATGTGGTTTAGGGAGGTAGGCAGCAGCCTCCCAGAAGAAGGGGCCTGAGGTGATGCCCTACGAGAAAAGCAGAATACAGTCAGATGAAGGATGCTGTAGTGATGAAGCCCGGAGGTCAGGCAAAAGGCCAACTTCAGCCCTCCCACTGTCACCCTTCCATTATATGGCCTCTAGAGTTACGGTCTGGAATAGTATAGCTCCTCCAATGATGGTGAGTTGAGGTAGCAGAGTGCCACTGTGCACACGAGTCTCCAAGAGTGTGGCTACCACTGTGAAACTGAGTTTAAGGGCATTGAACCCATCCATCGGTGGGCGACAAGCCAGAGCTCCCACTGTCACCTCCATGGTTGCTGTTTTGGAGCCAAGTGCAAGTCCCTTCCCTGGCCACCAGATCCTCTGATCATCTTCATGTGGGCAGGGTCTTGATTGTGATCGCCTGTGGTTCTTTGTCCTACCTCTGCCACGGGGCCACAGGCAGTCCACAGAGCCTGTTGTCTACAGCGAGATTCAGGCGGGATGCGGTACCTGCTCCGCTTGCCAGGCCCTCATATTGAGAGGTGTCATGCGCTGGAGCTACTCTGACCATGCTGTGCCTTCTAGCCAACCATCCTGATTGACTCTCAGGGCAGTTATGCTTATCCGCTTTACAGAGCTTCAGTGCTCACATACTGATAATGCACTCGGCATCCGGGATCTCTGGAAGACAGAGGGAAGTAGCTAGCACAGGGCTAGCACAGGGGACTGCCATCGCTCTGAAGCCTTGTGTCTCTGTGAGCCTACAGACTCGATGCACAGCCAGTGCCCCTACAGGCTTTTCTGAGTCCTACCGGGCACGTCCCAGAAGGTGGGACCGGGGGGACAAGTGTGATTTGTGGCATGTCATCTCCCAAGAGACTGCTAGATGATGGCCAGTGTGGTTCAGCAGTCCTCAAAAAAATAAAAATAAAAATAAATAAATAAAAAATAGAGGGGTCACCAAGAAACCTGAGCTTGAAACTACAGCAAAGCAAGAGGAGCCTGGGTGTGAGGAGGACAAGGGAGAGCCTGAGTTTCCTAGACACCTAGTCCTACCCGCTACTGCGGCCTGCTACTGTGTGAGCTAGGTGCCTGGGTTCCATGATGTCTTGAGTCACAGATGCAAGGCTTAGTCATGCAAGGTCCCCAAAGTCTGTGAGATGCACCAGCGGGGAAGCGGTTCAGACAGCTGGGGTGGGAAAGGAGTCCACGGTGCATACAGACAATGAGAAGAGAAGCCAAGGCAGTCTCAGGGATGGTCTTTGGGCCCTACCTACTCCTACCCCTAATGGTCTCTGCAACAGAGCTCCTCCCACAAACGTCCGAAGAGGACTGACCCCCCCCCCCAGGCAGCAGTTGTGCTCCATGAAAGCACCTTAAGACAGTGCTCCTGCCACCACTGCTCCCCTCGAGCCGCATCCTACTTTCTGACCTGGGTCCAGGAACCACTTCTGCCTTCATCACAAGTGGCCCACTGGGGCTAAGGGAACCACCATCCCCCTTTTCTGTGCTTCCCATCCCCCATTCAGCCCTGGAGAAGCCCCTGAGCCCACCCATGGATGGTTTCTAAAGTATCCCCGTCAAGGCTCTCAGCTCTAAGGCCTCTCCTCCGTCTAGCATGAAAGACGCGGCCTCGTGCACTCAGGACATGCTCAGCAAGCCTGCTCGGCGAATTGAAGAATATGTGCTAATAGCCATATCTGATACAGAATTTGGAGTCAGAAGCAAAAGCCCCAATTATGACATCATTTCTATGAGAAGTGACAGCTCCATTCCCACAGTCATCTTTACACTGCATTTTCCAGGAATCCATTAGAGCTAATTGTTCTCCCAGTAGAATGTAACATTCCTAGACCACCACCCACTGATCTCACTTGGAGAACATCACATCCAGGTCTGGTTCCCTCGAGTATTGCTGGGCTTGGAACCCTGCTTCCCATTTCTCGGTGAAAGGGTCCCTTTAGACCATGTCAAAACCTGGGGCTGCTCGCTTTTCAGAGTTTCTTCTGTATTGATTGTATCTTCTCTAAAGAGTGGATCTGCAAAACACAGTCCTCCCGGGAAGGCAGGTCTGGCGATAGTGACAGGTACCTTTGCCCACTCTCCCTTTCTGCACACCTGCTTCCTCCAGCAGAGGCACCACCGAAGCCTGTGTCTCAGGGGTCTGGAAAGCTGGTGTCTGTGTGGTACCCTGGAACTCTGCCCCCAGGCCATCCCCTTGCATAGGACCTCGAGCCTACAAGTCCTGGTGAGGGACTCAGAGCACATTCCCTACCTCTCCCTGCCTCATTTCCTCCATCCGTAAGATGAAAATAGGAAGGTGTGAGGGTCGCACAGGCAGGACCTTGGCCCAGAACCATCATCATTGTCACTGTAATTGTTGGGGATGCTGCTGATGTCAGTGCCAGCTTCATTCACTGCCGGTATCCCAGTTGACACTATATAACTGACTTCTCTAGGAACTTGGCTTGTCCACTTTATCGTAAAGGGATGGGTGTAACTTCCAGATATGGACAATTACTCACTAGAAACACGATTTGCCCATGTCCTGGGGAGGCAGACATGCCCCTTAAGGCCCAAAGTCACTATGCATGTTACATGTCCTCAAAAAAGAAAAGAGGCAAACAATGGGAGGGACCAGGGCCATACTCTGTCACTTGGTCACAACTCTGACCCAGGATGTCAACCCTCACTCTAGATGTGCAAGCCTGCTTGCACAGAGAACACGGCCAGACACCCACTGCACGTGATCCCGTAAAGCAGAGGGACAGGGGCAAGGTACAGGGACAGCAAACATTACAGCTTACAGAAGCACAGGCTGCCCCCCTGCAGGTGCTGCAAGGCAGAATTAAGGTTTTGAGGGACTGTGTGAAACCCAGACTCAACGTTGAAGAAATAGCTCCCCGTGGAGACTTCAGCTTCCAAGTGTGGGTGTGGAAAGGTCCAGGAGCTAGCACTGTTTGAAATAGATCAGGTCCACGGAGTAAGTATGGAGGGTCCTGCATCGCCAGGGCCCAAGGAGGCTAGCCTGGGCACTGACTCAGCCCCAATACCACATATTGAGGCTATTGGAGCATCATTGCCCGAAAGGATCCAGAAGGGGTAGGAAACTCCTAGATACTCGAGGTGAAGTAGACTGTCCTCTGTTTCTGAGGGAGACGGGTGAAGACTGAGCTGACTTAAAGAAGGGAGGACAGGAACCTACCGGAAGTCTGATGCTACCTGGGGGGTGGGGGTGTAGCACTAGGTGCGCACAGGAGGAGCGCCCCCTGGCGGGGCTGTGGGTCTAAATTCTATCTCTCTGCTCACTGCGAGACTAACAGTAGCACTTCCCTCCTCACAACCCCAGAGCCGAATGGCAGAAAGCCTACGCCTGTTTGATTCCATCTGCAACAACAACTGGTTTATCAACACCTCACTCATCCTCTTCCTGAACAAGAAAGACCTCCTGGCAGAGAAGATCCGGCGCATCCCGCTCAGCGTCTGCTTCCCAGAGTACAAGGGTCAGAACACGTACGAGGAGGCCGCGGTCTACATCCAGCGTCAGTTCGAGGACCTAAACCGCAACAAGGAAACCAAGGAGATCTACTCCCACTTCACCTGCGCCACCGACACCAGTAACATCCAGTTTGTTTTTGACGCGGTGACAGATGTCATTATACAAAACAATCTCAAGTACATCGGCCTTTGCTGAGGAGCCAGGCACGGCCCGCTCGTCTGTGGTGAAACCCACGGGGTGTCACACCCCACCCCACCCCAGCTCATGCTAGAGAGGCCCAACCCCAGGGGCAGAAAACAGGGGGCTTCAAGGATGTGTCCCCACCCCCCACCCCCAGCCTCTGCCTCCTTGGCCCTACGTTTCTGCAAACATAAATATATTTGGATAGATTGCTAGGTAGGTAGACACACAGACACACATGCACACACGCACACCTAAGGATGGCAGAGTTTGCCAAAGCGTGGAGGTTTCCTGAAGTCTTAAGGAGCTGCTGTCACAAGTTCACTCCAAGGCCCTCTAGCCCCCTTCACTCTGCCTTCCTGAGTCGGCCCCACTCTGCATGGGGGTTCACATTGGACTGCCGTGGGGGGCAGGGAGAGGCTGCAGGACTAAGACCAGGTCCGGCCAGCTGTGCCCATTGCCTGGAAGAAGGCCAGCTCACCAACTGAGCTCTGGACTGGGGACTACCGCTGACCAGGAGGGAGGCCCAGAGCAGGGACTGTGTGTACCTTCCCTGCTAGCCACACCCGACTCAGCCACTCTGCACCACGTGCGTCCTATACCTCGGACCTGAGGAAGCAAGTGACTGTACGGATTGGACCTCTAACCACTGGTGGCTCTTTTTAAACAGCTAAAACATATGCAGCAAAAACCCAGGAAAATGAGTGGCATCGTTTATTTCAAACTAGGCCAGCTGGGTTTCCAGCTTCCCTTCTGCTGGTCTGATGTTTTATAAATGGAAACCTGGTTTTTCTTCTCTAGCATCTTTTTTTTTTTTTTAATTTTTATTTTTGGCCAAATTTTATGTTTCGCAGGAAAAAAAAAAAACCTACAGTTTCGGATGTGATTAAATATTCTTTTTTAAATGCAGATTTTCAAAACACGTTTCATTTCAGGTGTCCCTTTGTGTGTCTGGCTTGCTGAGTATAGAAGTTGTCACCTGGACGATTCTGCTCCTTGGCTCCAAAGAATTCTGGGGCAAACGGCACCCCGATGCCAGCCTCATGGGACAAAATGTACATAAGCCTCTGCAATGTCCTCTTGTAATTGGTGCCGTTTTCTGCTTTGTTTTTATTTAAGAAAAATAAATGTGATGTATTTACAGAAGGTTCTTTACCTAGGAGCGAATGAACAATAGCTAAATGTCTTGGTATTTAAGGTGTAAATTATCTATGGCTTTGCCAAATGAAGGAAGGGGAGGCAAGAGATGGTGCTCCCTGGTCCCCAAATACTCCAAGCCTGAGGTGGGCTGGGAGCTGCTCAGACCCCTGTGAAGGCACAGCCAGAGTTGTGACCTGAAGGAAGCCCTGCTGGGACCATGCATTCCAGGCCTTCTAGCCCCAGGGCCCACAGGCACTGGTCTTGAAAGAGCCCTGGCTGTGTATAAATGCAAAAACCCCCGCTGCCAAGGAGATGGATGGCACCGATAGAGCCCTTGCCAAATCCCTCTCAACCCTTTGTTTGGTACCCATGAGTCCAACCAAGGTCAATGTACAGCATCACCGCCATGGAGTTGAGATGTACAGAGGGAGAGAAGAGCTGATGAGCATATAAAAGTCAAAGATTGTCTACTTTAAGAAAATAAAATACCATGAATGGAGCCAAACCTTGTTCCTGTGTGCTGTGTGTGGCTCATGTGTAGCTTTAGTCTGTGCCATCGAAAGCAGCTAGACACACCTTCCACGCTGGGGTCTCTCCCACTCCTTCCCCACGTCTATACATGTGCACAGGTAAGATCACTTGGGGGCGAAAGTTGAGGGAGAATAAGCTTTTAAAAAGGAAGGGAGCCACAAAAGAGAATAGAGCTGCCAGAGCCCCTCAGGTGTGGCCTCCAATGACGGAAAGTTACGAATGATGTTGGTACTGATCCCTTCTGCTGTTCCCAAGACTTCACACACACACACACACACACACACACACACACACAAAAAAAAAAAACAAAAAAAA